CTAAGGAAATAATGATAATAATAATCTCAAGGGAGAAACACGTTTCACAAGCAGTAGTGATTACAGTGATTCCATTCCATTGGTTAAGAAGACTGCCATCATTTATATATATATATGCTATTACCCCAGTTGAGTGGTTCTACTTTCTGAGCTTTTTATATGCTGATAGTGTTTTATTTTCATCTGAAATCAAAAGTCTAATTTATTTATCCATTACTGTTCACAAAGAGGGGAATCAGCATAAGAATACAAGCATCTTGATGCAATGAATCCATCAAATTATACTTAGTGTTCTCTGTCCTACTTACATTCTGCTCTGGTTTTCTGTTTCCTCTGAACTCTTTAAGTGTAATGTACAATAACCTCTACACCGATAAGTATCTTATCGCTTTTATTGTCGCAGTCATCAGACACACTCTACCTTAATTTGCGTTTCATACTGTGTAAAGCAAAAGATTTATGAAGTTATTTTATGCTCATTCTGCACATTTTTCACATTCTATTACTTAAGTTTACTTCTTACGATCATTTCAAAATAATCTGAAGTTATGCTACTCTTTAACGGATATAGATTACCCACTTGGAATGAATAAGTGTACCAAAAATAGGACTTGGAGAATTTTATCCCAGTTAGAAGAAATTTTATTGCGAAATAAAAGATTTAGAGATAACCCGACACTGTGAAACAAAATCTTTTCAGACAAACAATTAAATCTCTGTGATAAAAAAATTCACCGGAGAAATTTTTTCTTTTTTGTAACGGAAATATTCAGTCTACTTAAGGCAGAAGAAGCATATAAATAGAATAATTCAAGTAGGAAAGAGTTGATTTCTTTTTCCGAAAAATACGCTAAATTTCCCTACCCTCCAATATATAGTTGTTTAGTTTTAATAATATTGATGTGTGTAGTAAATTTATTTATGATGGAAATATGAATTTTACCTTAACTTTAATGACGCTGAATCTGATTTACTAGACTACCCTTTTCAATATTCGGATACAAAATTCAGACTTCCCTTAGAATAGCCAATCGTAGAAAAAAGATGTACTATCGGTTTCAGTGGACAACAATGTTGAAATGATGTCACTCATTGCAAGAGGTCAAGAGCTGTTGAAATAACAAAATAAATGCTACTTTAAGCTAGTCGTTTGCTAGAGCTACACTGAATAGTTAACTTTGATTAACTAATACAACAGGAAGCTCACATTTGCAAGCACCTTTGAATCTCTCTTGTTACTGACGTTTAATAAGTTTTTGCATAATTTTGATTTTATAACAGGGTTGACTGATCTGATTAGTAGTAATCTAATATTTCAAAACTATATGTTATGTCAGTGTAAAGAAACTGTATCATCACTTTTATGTAATATAGTTTTAGTGAGATTTGTTTCAAGTTGAACTCCTTTTACAATAATTCATTCTTTTATAACTGCAATTTGAAAGTGAAACAAGTTGAATAATAGAAACACTCTTCATGAATGAAATAAATTTACTGTAAATAAAGTTTCTCTCAAACTATGTAGCAGGAAGGTATTTTAATTCCATTTGTACCAGGATCGTGACAGACAAAATTCTTATAAGAAAATGTAAATATTACCGTGGAAGTGAACTCAAGAAGGGCAAAAACATTAAGCCACTAATTTGGTTTACATTTCCAAACTTTTGGTTTATAAAATCTAAGAACTTAGTTGGGGATTATGTTGATTAGGTTGAAGACAAGCAAATTAATTCACCACTAGTAATCGTTTGAAAAGACATACCATAGAGTAACGCCATTCGTTGTTTGTAGATATTTCAGAAAGTGACTGTACAAATGTTGAGGAAATGTGTCGACTTATGTAAGAGGATAGACACGGTTTCATTAGACGTCAAAAAAGGGAGACCTTTGTAGTATCACATAAATTTTTGCAATTTACATAGCGAGAACGAATAAAATATCTACTGAACTTTCACCCATCCATGTTAAGCGATAGTATCTCTTATCGTTTTCACGTGTCCAGCAGCAAGTTTTTTAATTATTTCTTTTAATGTCAATTAAGAGTTATTGAATCCCTCTACAGATTTATAGTTCTACCTTATTTCTTTCAGTATACTTTCATGTGGTTGCGAACCTCTGCGTTTCTACTGTGAAGTTTATTCAGGTTATAAAACAGTAATGTGTGGTCTCAAGTACAAATAAATTTATAAAACACGATATGGCACCAATCCATTAAATACTTGACTATATCTTTAGGCCATTCTCGAATATATGAATTACCTAACTGTGTTCCACCAAATGATAAAAAGGTTAATGGTCAAACATCCTTTGTGAAATGGCTGAAAATTTTTACAACTGTTCAGAATTACTCAATTCCTGTTGCTGAGATTTGGTTTAAAGAATTATTTCCCCCCTTTTTCACCTTTTTTTTATAATATGCAAGTAATATCTTCTTTCTGTCCCAAAAAATCTCTACGCTAATTCAGTAGTCAACCTACCATTGTTTTTTCTATTTGTGAACTACTCATTTGAAATGCATCTGTATAAATCTTGGAACTTTGGTACTACCACTATTGCTACTTATTTAGAAGTTTAAAATATTCACAGTTTGTTGATTATTACTGAAAATTTCAAGCGGCCGATTTAATTGAAACCAATCGGTTCCATGACACATCTTGTCCCGTCTGAACACTATACAGAGTTATATATGAAATTAAAAATCGTCACAAGACTTATCTGAATTAGTTAATAATGAAATCTGCGTTGAGGTCAGTCAGTATTCCATAAAGCGACTGGTGGAATAATAATAGTATGCTGAACAGTGATGCTTGTTAAGAGGGGTTTTCTGAATTTCATGACTTATTGATTGTAGTAATCATATTATTTTGCCGAATGCCAGAGACTAAGAAGCAACACGCATAGAATACTGTTTGGCAGAAAATTTTATGGAGATTTACTTTCCAAGAGGTCTAACAGCCCTTGACTAAATCCCAAAGAAAGTTTAGAACAAAAAGCAGTGAGTTTGCCTTTCAATGGTACGTTGCAACAGGAAGGGATCTGCATTCTTGATTGTATTATAATCCATGGTTAAATGTGTAACTACTCTCCTCTGCTAATGAGTACCAACTTGAAACGATGCACTTCTGTGGGACATTCTACCGTGACTTGCCGTTTCGTTTGTCTTCTAAACCTTACAACACCATCACACAGGACTTCACTAATACTTAAGATGAAGAATGAAACTGAAGTTCATAGAATCTGTGCAGAAACATATGGGGACATCTTTTAGCCTTCATTCCTCATGAAATTTGTAATAAGATTAGTCGCTACATTAATTACTCTTAAGTAGAAATCACGGAATTCGTTAAGTCAGAAACAGAATTTCACCGAATAGGAATCTTTTCACATTATTTTGTTATACTGATAAAGCGCAACATTTCTGAATTTTTTGCAATAAATGGCTTTAACATATCACTATAATATGTGTATATACGTCTTACTTAATATTATAAACTTTATAATTTAGTTTCTATGTAAGACTGAAAGTAGATTTACATGATATTAGTCCTCAGATTAATATTTTAAAGGTGAAACCAATGTCAAATTACAGTGCACTAACGCATATAACATTGTCTCCTAATTCAGATAGTTTGTGATATTGTAAACCTTTTTGACAGATTTTAGTCAAGAACTAGTTTTATTAATTAACATCAGGTGACCAATTTGTAAACATCAGTCAATCTTAGAGAAATTCATCTTTGGCTTGAATAGATAAGTGATAAAATCTATGGTTTCAACGCCGAATGACGTTGATTTAAATCTGGTAGGGGATAAGAATTTCTTTAAATACTCTGTCATGGCATACTGATGAGTGTAAGTAGGCACAAAAAACAGCCGAAGCTATGGTTCCAAAAGACTGACTTTTATCATCCAATGATTTATCGATTGCTACTTTTTTTAAACTTTGTTGTTCATAATTATTAAGCAAAAGCTCTATACAGAAGGTGATTAATAAATTCTCATAAGAGATAAACAGATAGGAAAGTTTGCAAATTCAGAATAGTTTCAAATGTACAAGCGATGACTTTCTTTGTAATTTAAAATCCTAGAAAATTAGGATACATTTCTAGCTCCTCGTAGAGTGTGTTTCGTTAATGTTTTGACGATCACAAACTATGTATTCTTAGTTAACATGCATGTCATTGAAATGCTGTTAATTTAATTATTGTAGTAATTAACATAGAAACGCAAATGCGTTAATTTACCTGAATAAACATTAAGATAAAAAAACAAAGTACCTAGAATCTTAAGTCAACAAAGTAACGTACTGAAAGGAAAATCACATGGAGGTAAGTTAAAACGCCTAAATTTTTAAAGTTGATTGGATAAATACTACATATATATGGTATTAGGTGGTTAGACGCCATTGATTGTCAGCTCTGGACTTAGGTCTCGTACTTGTGACAGCAACTGACTGTGTGTTTCTCAACCGACACTCTCTGTACCCTGTGTTTTTTGTAGGGATTTGATTAGTTTCAAGTTGAAACATGGGTTGATATCAGTTAGAGAACCACTGAAAGCCAGTGAGTCCTGGACAGCTGTTTTGTCCAACTTTGATATGCATTAGTGACTGTTTATAGGACGAATTTGTTTGAAATTCTAGTGATAAATCCTGACCATTGGGGTTGTTGTAACGGCAATGGATTAAGATAAAACCCCGTCGCTAATTTGTTATAACTGTAGGGGAATTAAATGACGGACGTTGTCGCCTTGTTCTGTCTGCGCCTGACTAATATGCCTATCTGCTTCTGGTACCTTCCGATTCAGCGAACCTTGCAAATATCAAAAGACAAAGTCTGGTCTCTGACTGTTTATTGTAGTACAACAACTACGACAAACTTATTTAGGAAATGGTATTTATACAATTTTACAACCAATAGAGACAGCTAACAGTATTTGAAATAATTGGTCGTAATAGTCAATAACAAAATGCGTGGGAATGATAATATACCACATATGCGAGATTAACAGTCATTAAAATAATTGAACAATGACAAAGTGTGTGGGATCCTATCAGGGGTTCACTAGTTCTGTAGTTTGGACAGACACTCGCAAATGACACTGGTTGATGATGGCACTAAAATGGGTAACTGACAGAAGTTAGAATCCATGGTTCAGTGAATTGCATCCTAGTGGTCGAATGGCAGACAACGTCGCCTCGTAACTTGAAGGTCCTGGAGGCATACAGCTGAAGTCGCACACTAGGGTGAAACAGTTCTCTAGTACTCTGGTTTACAGTGGTTCTCCAACTTATATCAATCCGCGATTAAACATATAATAAACCATTCTTTCCAATATTTGACTTTATTGATTAACTATATGTCTTGACTGGCATTAGCTTAGCGTTTTTTCCCAATCGCTTCCAGTTTGGTTAACAATGTATGTTAGAATAGACGGTAGACAAGCTTGCACCGTTATGTGTAGTAGTCACCTCAATTAACCTAAGCTTACAGCTTTATCAGATGTTTCAAGTGAAACCATGGATGTAAACTTATTAGCATTCCGCTGATACCATCGTTCACGAAACAGTTGGATATTTCGTCTATTCCATAAATGAAGCACTTAGAAGAGTGTTTTCAGTTATTACCAAGATTCCGTAGATCATATTAACACAGACTAATTCTAAAGCAAATAATGCCCACATATACCTTATAACGAAGATATATTTCAAAAGACAGTTGTATTCTCTTAAATGTATAAATAATTAATCAATGTTGCAGTGATTTTGAATATAGACACATAAATAAAAGATGGCGTAATTTACTGCAATAAAATGTGATCGTTTTTGTGAAATTTTAAGATGCAATGGCTTTTCCTGGTTTCCATAATGTTTTCTTGACAAAACAATGAGATGTATTAGACTCATCAACAGAGCCATTACTTGATGGTGTCAGTAAAGCCTCTTTGGAATACTTTTGTTGCATTTGTGCAATCACATCAGACCAACATAGAGGCTGTAATTTATTGTCACTTGAAGAAATCTTTGATTGAACATTTGATTTATTGTATTTGCCAAGGTGTTCTGTAGGTTTTATTATCGGTTGTCTAGAAAGTAGAAAAAACGAAGGTAAACAACTGATAAACTGATCATGTACATGCTAAAAAACAGATGCACTTTTATTTATCCTAACAAGAAATTATAATTGATTCACTACAAAACACTTCATTATTCTAATTTAATCTCTGCTTAAAGAGTTTAGAGAATCAGTGGTTAAAGAACTATAATGAATTATCGTAAAACTATTTGCAATTCCTCAATTATATTCTTGTTGAAGTTTGTTCAAAATCATAAAAATTAAAAACCTCAAAAATGATGTTTAGATCAAAAATGATAATGGTATTATTTATTGGTGGTAGTTAGCTGAGTGGACGGCGGCCTGCTTAAATCACTGAGGTACCAACATTTTCATCCATCACAATGGTTATACTCTTAAGCATTTCTCCTTGATGTAATCATGCAATTATTATCAAATGAACACTACATGAAGTCATGCATATATTTAATTAGCTTTCAATAAAACGCTGTGCAGTTCTTGAAGGAAATGGAGAAAATCTGTTCACAGTTGGTTCTCTCTTAATATGCAACAAACACTGCAACGTCACGTGATATACTTCAGATAATTGCTTTACATGTGAATCTTGTATGAAGAGGAAATATTTTGGAGGTAAATACGCTGAAAATTTCCGTACTATGTTTTCACATGTTATCTGAAATAGAGCTTGATTATTATTAAGTGTTGAATGAAGAATGAGAAGATGTTGGATGCAGAATAAAAGTAATGAAAAGACTTAACGAATAAAACTACTACTACTAAATGACTTAGATTTAAATCTCTGTTGGGATATGCGATCAGAAGAAACAATTTCTCAATAATTTCTGGATTTTAAACACTCTCTAGGTGATATCCATTCTGGACTAATAATTATTCATTAGGAATAACTTACAAGCTTTTCTGTTCATCTGACTTTTGTAAAGCAGTAGGTTGACCTGAACTCCAAAATGATAGGCCAGGTAACTTTTCTTCCTTTTTTAACCTCAGTGGTTTTTCTTCATCTTTAACAGGACTTCGTGCCTTAGAATACTCTGGAAAGTAACTGATATAAAATGTACAATTATAGTTCAGTTGGTAAAAACAAGGTAATAGTAGCGTAAGCTTATGAAAATCAAGCCACTACTGTGCCGTACAAATCATCAGTTAAGCGTATTCTTTTTTATGTGGCAAACTGTTACGAAGTCACTTGTATTCGTACGCAAATTTGGATTTATTTGTTTTTACATTTTCACCAAAAAATATTTATTTTTTTTTATTTTGATTACAGCTTGATGCCACACCGTATTTTCAGTACAAGTATGGAATTTTCAGCATGGATATCGGTAGCCCAAATTTTGCAGGCCGACCATAGATATCGGGTGTGCGTTGGCAGGAGATCGAACCCCGGACCATGTGCATGGTCGGCGAGATTCCTAACCACTGTGCCACCGACGCCTTCAGACGTCATAAACAGTTAGTAGTTTTAGGCGGAGAAACCTATGAAGGCTGTCCTCTAACCCACGCGTCATTTGTCAACTGAAGTCATTTATAAAGTTCGTGAGATATTTGCCTATCTGATGAAAAACAAGTGCACTCAGCAACATTTTAATGACTTACTTTATGGTTGGAACACACAGCAGGTGGCTTATGTAATAATTCAATAGTGATGAAATCAAAAATTGATCAGTATTTTAACGGGGAAACCCATGTTAGATAAACAAGCTAGGTGAATCTTTCTTCTATCCATCTAACTGTGATAACAACAATACACATCCATCACCATTATAAATAAGTGCCTACTGAAACGGTCTAAGGTTGAAGAAAAGTTAACGTAAGCAAAACTTAAAGGTGACACTGATGCATTAAGTCTCTTATTGTTTGAACAATATGGGGAGGTATAGGGTTGAATGAGGCCCTCTAGATTATTAAAACCTGTGGTTGAATACTTTCAGTTATATGACCTGAAGCAATTCATTATAAGACAGAACTGTTCACTCTGCATACCTTTTGGAACTCTAAGCATCCTCACTAATCTTTATTTTCCTGTTTTTCCTATGTTTACACCTACTGTAGTATAATATTGTTTCACTTCTTTTCTTTTCTTCTACAACAACTCTATATGACCTAGTTCTGTACATAATTCTAGGTAGATCTCTTTTCCGCAAAACTAATTTTTAGTTTCCCTTTCAAGGTATTAATGAGAAGCGATGAATTACGAGGTTAGCGTAGTCAGCTGTGAAAAGCGATTATTCACTGGCACTATTAGATGATGACGTGCTGTTAGAAGTAGGAAAACGCAGCTATTGAGATTCACATATAATGAAAGGATTTTGGTTTTATCACTGACAGATCAAGCCGTCTTGCGCTAGATTCTAAGTAGCACCTTCAACAAACACTGTAGGGGGAGGGTGGAAATTCTCAATGGAGAGCGAGTTGGTTTTTAACGACTATCCAGATGATGAGTGTAAATGACAGAATTACATTTCAGTAGCTGTTTACCGTACCTAACATTTCATTCTCCCGCCAGGTCAGAAAACCACGGCCTTCGAATTGACAAAATATCGTATATACTGCGGACACATTTTGTGTTAAGAAAAATACTAACATCTCTTGGAATATTTTTACAACTTTTAGTTTCAGCATTGTGCGTTTTCTGTCTAATATTATGTACGAACCATGCTACGACATGCGTCCGTGTTTTGTCTACTCTGTTGGTTAGATTCAAATTCCTTATTACAATACAAATAGTAAAATAAATGTATCTGTTTGGCAGTTATTAATAATATTATTATGATTATAGGTTTCCAGGCTGTAGGTGTTACGAACTCCCTGAAATAATTTGAGCGCCGGGTCAGATTGATTCATTATAAATTATTATGATTTCCTTTAATTCCTAGAGGAACATAGGGCCTCAGCCGTGCGTCTCCATTGCATTAGGTTCTCTGCTAGAGTCTTCACCTGGCTCCAAGTCTGCCCACACGTTTTCATCTCCTCTTTACATGACCTCCTCCAAGTCACCCTTGGACGACCAACTCACCGCTTCCCTTTCAAGTTCCACTCGAGCAATGGCTTGTCTAGTGATGTCACTTGATGGTTTCCTCAAAGTATGGCAGTTAGATGAATGCAAATCAAACCTTTGGCAGTTGAAATGAAAACCTTAATTAATTTTTAATGACCTCAATTTGGAAAGTAATTTGTTGTGGATTAAAATGTTTGATTGATGAGGGTTAAAATATCGAAATTAGATTTTACATTCTAATATTATTATTGTTATTCCCTTGGGTTCAGAGTGGGATATAGGGCTACAGCCGCACATCTCCATTTTGTCCTGTTCTCTTCAGTCCTCTCCACAGTCATCCAAAATCTCTCATTTCATCCTCACACGATCTCCTCCATGTCAAACTCAACTCCTTCATGTCTCCCAACTTGTCCTCTCCCATTTGGATCCACTAGAGTGATGACCTGGCACGTGATGTCAATCAACAGCCTTCTCAGCATGTGTCCGAACGATCTCCATTTCCTTCGCCATATTTGCTGGTTAGGAGACAGGTTCGTGTTTGGTTCGTTACCAGAGTTCCTTGTTTCTAATCCTCTCTGGCCATCGGATCTTCAGCATCGAAGCCTCCAAGGCAATATCCTGTTTGTTACGCGTGCCAAATCTCTGAACCATATGGAACTGACCTGACACTAGTGTTGGAAATCCAAATCTAGTCCTTTACGCTGAGTGCAGAATATTTTCACACTGATTCCATAGTAATGAATGTCTCGTTTGCTTTCCGATCCTGGCTGGCTTTGACATCGTCATCTGCTGAAATGAAAGAAATGACTTCATACAAATTTCTTCCGTTGATCGTGATTGGTACTTGTTGATGCTAGGTTGTCTTTGTCACCCCTGTCTTCTCTATGTTTAATTGAAGTTCTGTTCTCGCTGCTTCTGTTGCCAACTTACTGGTCTTCACTTTACATTCTAATACTGCACCATAACCTTAAATGAATTCAACCAAATACATTGCTTCAATTTTTTAACGACAAACACCTTGAAACAAAATCAGGATATCTTATCTTACACAGAATGCATTAACTGTGTGTTGGTTTGCTTATTTCAGTGAATCACACAGTGATATAGTAATGTTTACTGGATTACTTACTGAATTTATTAAGAATATCATCTGGTGCGACGTCCTCAAGTGTTGTTGATTTTAAAACATTCTAAATTTGAATACCACTGGTTATCACAAAACTTTATTTTCAGCTAAGTAATCAGCTAGTTGCAGAGTTAATATCATTTGAAATTAAAGATATTTTAATTGAAATGTCAGTGCTTGAAGTTGCTGAATAATCAATTTACTTAAATGTAGCACATCTGTAACAGAGGAGTGACTGATTTAAATTACTTTATTTAAATACAGAAAAATTTTCGAATTCCATACCTTTCCCCTAAAGCTTAACACTTTCTTGACATTTTTGTTTAGCTCGACACTTAGGAGAACTGAATTGTGTCAGCGAAATCTTTAAAAATGTATAAAATCTACCAACCGGCAGAAGCAGGTAATTACTGTCAGTGTTTACGCCTCAGTGTTGTCCTAAATTTATCAGTTTATTATAGTTCGTGACAATTTAGTTGATTGGTTAACATCCGCAGGTAAAATCGTACTCATTGTCTAGCCCTACTTGGATTGATTCCACCCAGATCTTGATAAATCTATAAATGTAATGCTGAATGGTAAGTATATTGATCCCAAAAGGAACGAAAGTTTCATTGAGAACTTAGATTGATCTCACTGATAAATACTTAAGCAAGTACAAAACTAAGTATAGCAGGGCTTAGTGCCAACTGACGCCCAACATTTAATCAATTTCAAGAGTAAAGATGAACCATATGCTGTTACCTAGGCCATATCACTACCAAACGACTTCTACAAGTTATTTATTGAATCATTATAGAATAAGAGCAGAAAAGATCAGCAAGAGGGATCTCTGGAAACGAACCAACCCAGCAGCAACCAGTTGTGCAACGAATATGCAGGAAGAAATGGAGGTGGGTCGGCGACACTCTGAGGAAACCACCAAGTGACATCACACGCCAGGCCATCACTCGAGTGAAGCCTGAATAGGAAGCGACGAGTTGGTCGTCAGTTCGAGAGTGACATGGAGGAGGTCATGCGAAGAGGAGATGAAAGCATATGGGCAGGCGCGGAACCAGGTTTAAACGTAGGCGGAGAATCGATCGTAATGGAGACGTGCGGCTGAAGCCCTATGTTCCTCTAGGAACTAAAGCAGACAACAATGATAATATATATTGATAGAATGACTGTCCATAATTATTACCTGAACCTTATTATTTTGTTTATCCGCCGTGCAAATAATTAGAAATTCGAGAGCATCTAGCAACCAACATTCTAAACAGAGATTTCATCGATGGATCCATCTATTCATCCATTTTTGATGAATAATAAGTGAAGTTTAGAAATTTTATTGTAGTTGACCATAACTTTTACCATCTAAAACACGTGATAATAAAATCTGACTGCTAGTTTAAATCATTTTTTTTATTCCTTCACTTTCCCAGTGGAACATAGGGCTTCAAGCCACAGGCTTGAAGTTTCTGTAGAAGTGTTTATTTTTACAGGATGGGGTTGCTAGCCTTATGCCCAACCTTTCCTCTTCACCAGCATTATTTCTGGCTTAGCGAGGTAAAGGGGTGCGCCGGCCGGGGATCGAACCTCGGACGCTGTGCATGGTCGGTGAGCGTCCTAACCGCTATGCCACTGACGCACCCACTCAAATTTACTCAGTTATACTTCGCTTTAACTAGCTATTTACGTCCTTGGAGAATAGCCTGTACTCATGGTCACTTTTGAATAGCTTTCAACAAACCACTTGGTCTGTCTTGGTGGTTAGAATACGTCTGGGGTCGGAGCGTGTTACAAACAGGACAAAATTTCGTCAAATGATATTATTGTTTTATTTGAAGACTATTTATGAGGAATACGTAAAACCAAGCTGGAAACTGTGCAATATATATATATACATATATATATGTATATATAAGCGTGTTGTTCAGAATAAAGCTTGTTTCTGTTGCTTAATGTGGTTTTATGTAGTGTGCCCGATAAACGTCGAAAAAGGATATTATCACAAGGGATGTGCAAACATCCTAATGACTACAGCGTCACCAAAAGACGTCTATTAACTATTTCATCTCAGTAGAAAATCCTTGAAATGAGATCCCTTTCTATCAAAAGTCACTTTAGCAGCCAATCAGAACTATAATCGAATATTAACAGTATGTTCATACCTTTTCATACAAACTTACTTCTCCAATGGTTGAAGATCACTGTCAATAAATGAAGCATATTGTTTATTTTTTAATGATGGACATAATGAAAGGAATTCATTTGCTTTTTGTATATTAATTTTAGCTTTCGAATGGAAATTCTCCGCCTGTTGGCTTTTCAATGATGAAGAAAAATTATTGTCTTCAATTGTTTTAATTGCATCTTTTAAATCTTGTTGAAATGATAAAATTCGAAATTGATCATGGTTTCTTTTAGCCCATGAAGCAGCTAGATTGACTTTACGTAGTTTCTTTTCTAAATGAGGGGCTTTTAAATTTTTCAAGACATTCGATAATGAACTGGAAGGATTTTCACGAACGAAATCACATAAAGGTGGCTGGATAATTATCAGAGCAAAAAAGATATCCGTTTAAAATTATTTCCTTGAAAACAGTGTTTCAGTCAAAAAAGTTACTTTAAATCAAGCAGTACAACTGTTTTAATTGTGCTTTAAGTTCTATCAGAACTACGCGCCCATGGCTCCATGTACAGTGGAGTCTACCAGGTATTGTGGGATGCAATGTTTTTAATATCTGCCAACTGACTATTTCATTTTCCATTAATGAATAACTTTTTACACGAAAGACTTGATTGTTCCTGCGATCACACTACAGCATTCCATCAGAAATGAAAATTATTCTCGAAACAAGTTGTTATTTAGATTCGAGTTGTTATTCATGTAGAATATTTGAAGCGGAATGACTGATTTCAATGTGGTCTTCTCATGTCAGATCGAAATTACTAACAGCGCCAAGAATTTTTGAAAGTCAGTGGTCAAATCTCTCCAACTTAACCATGGTGAAGACAAGTGTACCGTCATACTACATAACCTTAGCACTTCCTAATATTCAAGACAGAAAGTTAAATTAAAAAACTTCCACTTAAGTGCATCCCTACACGTTACATATCTTTAAACAGAAGAAGAAAAGGTAGCAGACTAAACAGTGAAATGGTATAACCATCTCGCCTGTATAGACCAAGATGGCTAGGACGCGTGTTATATATGCCATGCCATTGCCTTCCGTGCTGAGCAACGTAAGCTGACATATAACTGGGTTGTTAAAGGCTCATGAGTAGTCAAACCAAAATATAACATCAATCCATAAGATTACTGACTTTTGATTTGGGCTATTTATGGAGGCGCAGACTATCTAACTGGTCCCCAAAAATCAGTGACTGGAGACTGATTACGGTTCTTTAAATATTTATTATTCTTCATGTAATTTTACTTTCTCTTGTACACTGCTGTTCAATACAGTTTCCTTATCATTTGTTCTTAATTTAGTTTTGATTTTCCAGTCGATTGATTGGACCGAAATGTTTAGTCTTTGCTAACATGTCACCTCCTAGTATGGACCCTTCAACGATGTCTAAAGACTTACTTGAGGAGATAGCTCTGGTAGCTCAAGTGGTCTAATGGATGACGCTCCGGAATTTAAAACTGTGGGCACTGGGTTCGAATCTCACGTGTATTCGGTGACGAGTCCTAAATGGGGCGAAATTCGTATCCTAGACTCTACTGCTAGTCACCATTCACTAGATTACTTCACACTTTATTCACATTTATTTTTTTCTCTACCTTTATGTGCGCTTCATAAAGTGTTACAACGCTAACTACTAAATTTTTCTGCAAAGTTCCATACTGAAAATGCAGTTCACTTCCTAATAACAGTTATGTCTTTCATACAGAGTCATAGAACCTCATTTCAAAGCACTGAAGATATTGTTTAGAAGGACGATAATAGGAAAATTTATGTATGAAAGCCTCACAATTAACCTATCCATCTCAAAGGATACGAAAGCACTGAAAATCAACCTTAAACATAATTGCAGCGATCACCATATGCCAGCAATTTATTCCATACCGCTGAACTAGCACAGATAGTTACTCTTATTTTCTGTTATTACTCTGTAACATTTTTTGTGATCTATCTTTCGATCTTTCAGTCATCGTTCTACACATCACTATACTATTTACTTTGCAGTCTAGGTGTTTTAACTAAATACTTTTAATTCATCATACATTGCAGTTTCATTATTCACGAACATAAGCGCATATATATGCGTATCAGAACTGCTTTGTTATTATTTATTTTATTCCTCTGCGTTCTGAGTGGAACGTATGGCTTCATTCTTGAGCTTTGAAGTTTCAGCAGCACAGGGATCTTTTCATGGGGTGGGGTTGCTAGTACCACACCCAAACCTCCCTCTTTGTTGGACCTACAGCCGATTAGGGGAGATAATGGTGTGTGCCGGCCGGGAGTCGAACCCAGGAACACCTGCTTGGTCAGTAAACATTCTACTGCTGAACCACTGACTCACTACTAGAACTGAACTATTCAAATATTTATTGTTCTATATCCGACAGTGTTCAGCTAAGGCAATTATAGGACGCATCTGATTAACTAGTGTTCTATTTCTTTAATTTCAATCAGATTTTTATTGCATAGGAAAATATTTCACTACAGATATCAGACATCAAACAAGAAAACGTAAATTATACTTTCAACAGGTTGATATAGTTACAAATTTCATGCTATAAATGCATCAGAGTATGTTACTGAAGTCTATCCAATTTAACCGACAACTTAAAATACGGTGAAAACACCAACCGATTATGAATAACTTGTAGATTAAGGTCATCTACAGTTTTGTGATTCACTCGCTGAAAACCACCACTCAAGTATCGGAAACATGAAATTCATTACTGTTCAGTTATCAGTTAACATATTTGTAATATAAACGTATGGAATAATAATCGTGTCTCGAAAAATGTAGATGTAACACTTTAGACCACAAAACTGGATGACAAGAATTCTTACTTCCCTTTTAACTTAATAGCTGATTTCTTCCAAAAACCTATAGTTAATTGAATCTCAATCAAAATTAACTCCTTCGAATCTACTTCCGAGTTAATGAGTTTCATAAATTGACTATTAACAATACTTAAGTAGTACTATCATTTTAATATTATGGAGATATACAACTATACTCACCTTTTTGTTTTCAAGTGACATGTACTCACGAGTAAATGCAGCAAATGTGAACTGTTCCTCTTTAGTCAATTGTTTCTCAAAATCTTTTAACTGTTCATATGATTTACATCTTAATAAATTCCAAAGTTTTTGAGCTCCAGGATTCTCACCCAAATGTAATTTCAATAAATCAATTATATTAAAGACACTATTTGCTCTTGATTTACGGTGTTTATTGTAATTATTATTTAAAAATGTTGACAGACGTCGTTTTGATGGAATTGACTTGTCACTTAGCAGTTTTTCATCATTTTGTAAATCAAATAACCATGATTTAATATCTGAACGAAATGGTATACGGGCTCCACGTAACATTCCATTTGGATAACCACCGAGTAATAGACGTTCACCTTTTTCATTATCGTTTGCTGTTAATAACTCTTTATCAATTGATTTGACACTAGAAGATTTTTGAAAATTTGGATGACAAAAGTAATCAGCTGTTTCTTGACCCCACAGGTCGTCAAGAATTTTTTTATAATAATTGTCATCATCGTCATCTTCATTGTTCGGAGTCTAGAAATAAGGTAAACACCACAATGAATCTCTAGATTTTATTTGCTTCTGTCACAATGAATAAATAAGTTAAATATAGGTAAATATTTGATGATTGTTCACACTGACTTAAAATATTTGAGTGACATTGGTGTTTGACAGTCACTACACCTCTTAACCTGAATTCAGCACTTGACTTCGTCAGTATAGGAAGCCGCTTTGATGATACATTTCGTTACGAGTTCCAGGGAAATATGTTATCCCATTGACTTTACTCAGGTGGAAGTCACGATGTGTTGTAACAGCCTACAGGAGGTCGCCGTTTAAAATATTTAACTTCAGATAGATATAATAACAGAGATAACTTCGTGTTCATATATTTTCAGAATCAACTTGCAATAATAAAAATTAATAATTGATTCAGAGAACACAGACGACACAGTCATTTTAAGTACAGATGCTGATGAAAAAATTGTCATATCAGTTTTCTGAGAAGACAAAAATATTCGATTGTCTGTGGAATGTTATTCTGTACCTTCCGGAATCTTGGACGTGGAGTGGTCGACTGGCTTCGAAAAATCTTCATCTGTCTATTTTTATCTGTATTGTCTCTGCAACTTGTTTGTAGTTAATTTTTAAAAAGAAACCCTCTTCTTATGGGTTTCATCTGAAAACGTCACCTAATTAGCACTGTTCTACTTTTCTAGTTGATTTATAATGAACCAGCATCAATAAATTCATAATTCTGTTTGCACATCGAAAACACGAAGCTTTAAAATGTAAGTGAAACGACTAGTCTAACGTCTATCAGTGTTCCCTAAGACAAAACTTCATTGTGCACAGCATTCTCAGGACTGCTTTCCTTTGATACTTCAAGAACCATTATTTTCAATATGAAGCATTTTACAGTATCAAATTTATGAAATGAGTTATCTAAATGACAATACCTGGTAACAAATTGGTCAGTTAAGTTATCGACTTTAAGTAGCACAAAATAGAACTTTAATTATTTACAAGATTACATTTGAGGGGTGATGTGATTTAACCAAAGTTTCATCTGGCTAAAGTTGTGACTGTTAAGCTGCGAGGAGTTGGAAATGATGAGCAGCTGGATAATGAATTAGTGCTTGAATGGTAATGTTTTGACTGGGAAGCATAACACACTTTGGTTTTATGTTGCTTAGAATTGTGAGTTTATCCCATTAGACAAATACAAATGCAATATTCTACGCGAAATGGACATACATCCATAAATTGGTTCCATGAGTCCCAGTATCGACAGTATTAATGACTCATTCTTCAACGCTAACCTGGGCTCTTTAGTGAACAACTTCGATATAACAGCATGAGCAATGTGGTGCTGTTCTGCGACAAGCAGCTCGACTATCTGGATTTTAGCATAGAACAAGGAAATAACAGGGCATCTGAAAAACTACCTACTTAAATTACCACTGTTTTTGCTTAACTACTTGCAAATGGTGTCTGATCAAAATTATCTTCGGCAGAGTGACGTTAATATGTTCAGAAATTAAGATTTTAGGAGAGTTTACGATTATTGAAAAGAATCTTATGAACAATGGATATATAAGGAAGTTCATACTGAAGTACTGAAGAGAAGAAACGTCTGGTCTAAAACTGGTAAAACTTGAAAATAAACCGGTATCTATAGGAAGAGAAAGAAGTGACAGTAAAATTCAAAAAAGGGATAGTAGGTGAAGGACATTTCCAGGCTCTATATTGATTCCCCCTTATAATACAAAATGCTCATCAATTCAGTCGAAAGTAGATAAGTATCGTGCACATGTCAACTCCAGTTAGATTTACCCATTCACATACACTTGCAATAGCAAGCACACAGAAATGACTGAGAACAGAGCATCTATTAGATTTCCTCGGGATATTTGTGAGAGCTTAAGTATGAGAAGTAAGAATTACTTGCAAGTATGATCCCTAGGCATTTGATTGATATGCTAAATTTATTTAAATTCAGTCAGTCTTTCAAAATAATCGGTATCCAGAGAAAAGCTCTGTTTTTCAGAAACCACTGCTATCAAATGACTGGAATTACATGAACTATTTATGCTCTGGTCAAGTTTCATGATGATATCATCCTTTCTCTACTCTGTAACTGTATCGGCGTGGTGCTCGAATGGCGTACGTTCATCTATTTATATCTTGCAAACATATTCGCCCTTGCCGTTTTGAAATTAATAAAGAAGACCAAGAGCATGAATTTTCTAGTTCTAATGAGAAGTCATGGCTGGTGCCGATTATTTAGTTGAAGTTCGGGACGTCAACCTGTCGAATTCAATTTCAGGTCATCCAGCTTATCATATTGTTATTTTTTTGAGTGATAATACATTTTTGTCTAGTACTGCTCCATGTTCTAGAGAAAATCGACATTAAGGAACTTGGCATTAAGGTAAAGCAGTAAAGTTGATAAAAAAAGGAGAGAAAAGTAGGGAACAGTTACAGAATAAGACCAAGATGTGAGAACACTACTTTTAAAAGGGAATGGAGGTTCAGAAGTTTTCAATAGGGATAATTAATCTGCAGCATTTTAACAAATTTTAAACCACGCTATTTCAAAGACTGATTCGCAACAATTGTGAAATTTCAATCAGGAAGCTCACAAGTCCCCATGTGATTGAAACTGTCAGCTAGAGAATTCATGGGTTATTGTTACGTTTTTGTCTTATCGATGGGAGATTTTTCCAAATTAGTTCCACCTTATCCAGCATTGAAGTTATAAAACTTACGCCAAACCTGATCGATGGAAGTCCACAACCTCATCTTGCAACTGACTCTGTGTGCTCACGCTAGACATCACTAATTTTTTACATGTCTACGCATCTAAAATTTCACACGCTCCTTAAGTGTTTCATGTCTACTGACACAGTATTGAGCTGGCAAAAAATAAATATTTACTCAGTTTACTCACCATTTGTTTGTCACTTGAATACGTCATTGTTGCCAGAGGAAAACTTCTATTACCATTTTCCAAATGCTCTGGTTGAATAAACAAACAAATGTTTTGATAGTGAGACTTCTCAAGATATCATCAGTTTGTTCAACAGACGTTAATACGATGATATAATTATCAAACTTGAAATAAAATCTTGAGATGCAAAATAATTTCATTAACTAGCTTTCAGATTACTGCTTAATTTTTCTACTGATTGAACTTTGTGATCCAGTTGGTAGTTATAACTTAAAGAAGTATGAATTGTGAAAGGTAAAATTTATTTTTTTCATTTTTGATTACAGCTTGATGCCACAGTAAAAGTATGGAATTTTCAGCATGGATTTCGGTGGCCCAAATTTTGCAGGCCAACCATAGATATCGGGTGTGCGTCGGCAGGGGATCGAACCCCGGCCTATGTGCATGGTCGGCGAGATTCCTAACCACTGTGCCACCGATGCACTGAACAAATCTTTTTTACCACAAACATGTGGTATTGTAGACATTTAGATACTAATTATGTAACCTGACTGAGAGACATGTAATTACTCCCATGCAAGCTAAACTGACTCATTTCTGTAAGCGTTTCGTAGGTCTGAATGTGCTTTTCGGTTTAGGTGTTATCATTGAGAAAACAAAAATAGGCACACATAATTTCTTGTTAAGTAAATGGATAAACTTCACTGGTGACATCCCTATCAGAATTCTCATGGGGTTGAAATGAATGAATATGAGGTTTTTCGATGAACTAACTTAAACTTATTGGAAGTTTTGTCCTACAATTATCACATTCTAGGACAGAATTAACTACATATGCACACTATCTGTACCAGTATTTTTTAGTTTAATGTCATCAGGATATAATAGGCAAATGGCATATTCCATTCTGTGTCATTAAATGTTTGCTAAGTTAAACTACATGATTAAACCCTGCAGATACTTTAAATTACCACATTTTATTTCTCACCAAAGGTTACTTTATGTTTACAGGTTGAACATTAAGGGAAAAGCGAAAGAAAATAATCTAAATAAATTTTGTATGGACTGACGTGGATGGTGTCGATTGGTTCAACTAACGCTTTGGACAATAATGTAAACTTTGAAGTCATTTGAAAAGCTCTAAAGCAACATTTAAGCGTCAATTAAAACCGCAGGATTCTCGCATAACTCGCATCAGACAAGACACAATCCATTTAGGTAATATGCCAACGCGGTAGCAATTTTCTACTGAGATGTTTGGCGGTAAGCAGCTCCAGTATCTTAACTCACTTGGAAAATAATGACTTTTCAAGGCTTTTACCTACATTCTGAATTCTTAGTATGATTTATGACCACCTTTTTATCTTCATAAGCCAGACTATGAGAGCATCAACGTTAAATAGAATTATTCTTTTGGTAGTTATTCCGAATCTAACCAAGAATGAAGTTAGTTCGAACGTATTTTTGTAGAAATAGCAGTTCACTTATTATTTAAATAAATTATGCTTTGTGTTAACATCGCAGCGGACTGAAAACTTAAGATCCAAGAGTGTATTATGGGATGCATCAACAAACATGTCTCAAACTGCTCCCAGACCAACCACTACAAAAACAATAACCTTCCAAACATTTAAATTCCAAATTTTCATATTACACTTGTTTTAAACTCCGAAATAGAGATATTACTCAGATAAATGCTTGATAGTTTTCAGGATAACCACGAAGATAAGCCAATAACTTACCAACGAGAATTGGTAATCTTTTTGTAAAGTCTGTTATAGTTATGAGCACAAAAACTAAAAATTACAATTATTGGGAGAAAAAGGTTGAACTGACAGGATGAATGAATTTGAAGGGGAAAATCTTTTAGGAAACTAAGACAGATGAATTCAACAAGATTTTTGTGGTATAATTTTCCAGACCATAGATGTTACAAATTTCCTTGGTCTGTCCCAAAGGGTCGGAAAAATTGCCTCCCTTGAATAAACCAAGAGATTTGTAAGTTACTCAGACGTAAATACAAATGTTGAAACCTGTTTGCCACACTAGGGACTCCTGAAATCAGGAAATTATATAACACTGTTAGGCATAACGCTATTGCAGAAATCCGCAAGTCAATGATGAAATTCGAAGCACACCTGGCTCAAAATGCAAAGGCACAACCTAAGAAAATTTTCTCGTACATGAACTTCAGGAATAAAACATCCAATGGTGTTCCAAATCTGATTATTGACAATGGTATAATCGAAGAAGATCAAGAAAAAGCAGAAGCAATGGCAGACTACTTCTCCCAAGTCTTTACAAAGGAGTCATCACTCCCTATAGCGTCAGCTCTGGCTGCATCAGAGGAACACGGGAAAGATTCCGTTGATATCGACCAAGACATCGTGCTCAACCGCCTAATGAAACTAGATGCAGGTAAATCAGTGAATCCTGACAATCTTCATCCAAAGCTTCTCAAGAAGCTATCAGGTCATATAGCCGGCCCATTGACCACGATCTTCAGGATATCTCTCCTAAATGGAGTGTTGCCAAGTGACTGGAAAGACGCCATAGTAACACCCATCAACAAAGGAGAATCATGACAAAGCCATTCAAATTAAAGGCCTATTAGTCTCACCAGCATTTTAATCAAGACACTGGAAAGAACCATCAGGAAAAGTATCATCGCATATCTGGAAAACAACAAAATGTTGTCCAGAGCACAGCACGGCTTCCGAAGAAACCTCTCATGCCTGTCAAACCTCCTCACTGCAAGAGAAAGCTGGGTCAAATCAAGGGACAACAAAAGACCCGTTGATGTCGTCTTCATAGACTTCAGCAAAGCCTTCGATAAAGTTCTCTACACAAGACTACGCATGAAGCTGGAAAGTCTTGGTATCAAAGGCAGCTTACTAAATTGGCTCAGGGAATTCCTCATAGATAGGAGGCAGAGGGTTAGGATCAACTCGAAACTCTCCTTTTGGACAGCAGTACGCAGCGGAGTACGACAAGGCACGGTACTCGGATCTCTCCTATTTATTTTGTATATCAATGAGTTATCTCTGCTCACCGACTCCCCTATGGTCCTATACGCAGATGACTTAAAAATTTGGAGAGAGCTGAAGGGCAACAGTAACACGTCCACGTTGCAAGAGGACCTCAACAAATTGTCAGAGTGGTCCATAGAATGGATGCTCCCGATAAATGTGGCAAAATGTGCAACCATGCGCATTGGACAAGCAAGCACGAGCTCTTTGAACTAGAGGGAATTACACTTCCATCAGTTCAGACTCACTTGGACTTAGGTGTCATAGTTAGCCACGACTTAAAAACCACAGCAAACTGTCGTGCGGTGGCCGCACGTAGTTTCAGGTCCTCATGGGCAGTTCGCAGAGCCTTCATTAGAATCACCAAAGATATGTTCACCTTATATACATCTCTGGTGAGGTCAAGACTGGAAAACTGCATCCAGGCCGCCCGCCCTTGTCTAAAAGGGGACTCACTTATTCTAGAAAGGGTTCAAAGGAAGGCAACACGTATGATTCATGGCATGACTAACTTATCATACGAGGAAAGACTAGACAGTTTAAATCTCTTCTCCTTGTCATACCTTAGGCAGAGAGGAGATTTAATCACAATTCTTAAAATTCTAAGTAGTGACTACGAACCTGACCTATTTTCTCTTTTCCTTCCCACCAGGTCGGAACACCTTAGAGGACATAGCAGGAGAGTTCAAAAGCAAAGAATAAATCATATTGCTGTTGAGTGCTGGTTCTCACACCGAGTCATAAACTCTTGGAACCAACTCCCAGAAGAAGTGGTGTCTGCAACCTCAGCTGATTCGTTCAAGAAGGGTTTGGACAACCACAGAAATTTATTAGAAAAGGATTAACATAGGCTCCAAGCCTTCTATCCTCAACCAATAAATCTGAATCTGAAATTTTTTCCTTAAACGCTCTTGGATTACTTTAAATTATTTCTAAAGATTTTTGTGTTAGTCGGATTTATGAAAAATAAACTTAGATAGCAGTGTAGCACCCTTAATGAATGAAGTGTGATATGAACATGATGACTGAATAGGAAGACAGACTAATAGGCACACCTGAATAAAAGAGAGGTGATTTTGTTTTAATAAAGAGATGAATTTCATATAGACAAGGATAATGATTGCATTAGCATAGCATTACATATTAGCTGATAATACTTCAAGCACAGTGTCTTTTATAGTTCTTTGTTAGAAATCTACCCTATCACACGGCCGAAATTCTAGCAGTTTGTATTCTTGCAAGACAATAAACTGCAAATTTTTACAACAGTGATTAATATGCCAGTCTTGAGAAATTGTCAGAACCAAAATTTGAAATAAAAGCTGAAAAATAAACAACTTGTTTGCATCTAAGTGTACATGAATGGCGATAATTCAGCTTTCTAGTGTCTTGAGTTGATGACACAGTAATTTGGAAAGCCGTGATAAACAACTGTTTCCATCTAAAGTGTACACAAATCTAATTAACTCAGTTTCTGAGTGGGACTGATATTAACCTGTACTCATTCGCTTTTCTTATACCTACATAATTCTCCGACTCCAGCTGGTAAACAAGGTGAATTTAACTAGAAGCTTCATACTGTTCTCAGTTTTCGTTGTGAAACTATATTTTTATATTTATATTTTTGATTACAGCTTGATACCATACCATATTTTCAGTACAAGTATGGATATCGGTAGCCCAAATTTTGCAGGCCGACCATAGATATCGGGTATGCGTCGGCAGGGGATTGAACCCCGGAACATTTGTATTGTCGGCGAGAGTCCTAACCACTGTGCCACCGACGCACTATTATGTGGAGTGAGCTTTAGTTCACTTAAGACATTAGAAAAATTATTATTAAGGTTTCCTTAACTGAATAGTGTTTGTAATTAGTACCCATGTTCTAAATATTTTTCCTTAACTCTAAACGTAATGCTTCTGATCAAAAAAATTTGCACATGTTGAGAATATTATGAAGCATAAGGGTTATTTTCTGGCTAAATTTCTGTAAAGATAAAAACTTGACCACGTGGATCAGTCATATGAGACGACCGACTTTCAACTCAACGGTTAACAATTTAAATATTTGCGGATGGTTGTCATGCTAATGCAGCACTGACATGCAGGCTGGACTTATATATCACGTTCAATATCCAATATCCTGATTACGAGCTAGTATAAACCAGTGATTTCTTTGAGCTCGCTTCTTGATTGTAAGGTAGAGGTTCCAGATCTTCGGTGAACTTATGCGTAGTAAATCCCGCCACTCAACTGCTTTAGCTCTGGTAGACTCCAAGAGGAGTGGTGCGAGGATTGGTCAATATTGTGGTTTGTAGTGTGCAGTATGTTAGGACTGAGTTTCTGCCGTGAATGGAGTTTGACCTAACACCCGTTGGTCATTCGGTGTAGTCATAAAAGTAGAATAATAATAGGTTGTAGTGTAGATAATATAGGTTGAGATAAGTGAAATAATAAAGGTGACCTAAGGAAAAGATAGAGTAGTCGGTACAGTGGGAGAAGACAGGACGGGTCGTAGGGATTTAGCTTGTATGCTTATCTATTGACAATGTGGTTTCAAATTTTAAGAGGGTAAGCCATTGAGCCACAAACCATGCATTTCTGCATGATTGTCCAGCTTCCGCTTAAAAGTCTCCACAGATTGAGCTGTAGTTACGGCCGCCGGTAAAGCGTTCCAGAGACAGCAAACTCGAAGCGAGAAATGTGAACGCACTCGAGTCTTTGGTCTCTGGTGTGCTATCCTTAGCGGGTTACCTCGTGGAAGCCTATAATCACTTTATGGCAGGATGCTCTTATTAGGGTGGGCCTGGTCATTTAAGATCTTATAGACGGTGATGAGGTCTCCCCTGTGACTACGGTAACTAAGTGTGAAAAGACTTAATTTCTTCAGTCTTTCCTCATATGATTTGTTGCGGAGGCCGATCACCCATTTTGTCGCTCGTCTCTGGACACTTTCTAGAATGTTAGCATCCCTTTTGAGTAGCGGAGGAGCAATGATAATATGCAACTCAAGGAGTGGCCTCACGTACGTCGTATACAACGTTAGGAATAGTTCAGGAGTAAGAGCTCCCAGCTGCCTATGCATAAAGTGTAAAGTGGCGTAAGCTTTGGTGACGTCCCTCGTGTAATTTACACTAATGTCTAGCTTTTCTGTTAAAATAGGGCCTAGATCGCGTTCTGATGGCACACAACTCAAGTTCTGGCCACCAAGGGTGTAATTTACACTCTGTGACCTGCCGGAATAAATTTGCACTACTTTGTACTTCTTTAGGTTGGAAGGCATTCCGTTAGCCAGAGCCCAGTCTCCCAGAGTTTGCAGGTCAGCCTGCTATCTGTCGGAGTCTTCCGATGAGTTTATTGCTCTCCAAATCTTTACGTCGTCAGCGTAAAGAAGCGCAGAGCAATTCAGTTGACAGGGCAGGTCGTTGATAAAAATCAAAAACATCAACGGCCCTAAGATAGAACCCTGAGGAACCCCTGATGCTGAGGTGTGCCAGATGATCGGATGCGGTTGACTTTGGTGCAGAATTCTCTCTCGCCTAAATAATCTTCCAGCCATGCGAGAAGTGCTCCAGAAACACCCGCTTTGCTTATTTTGTGAAGGAGCAGGCCATGGTGAACTGTGTCGAATGCTTTCGCAAAGTCCAGAAAGATCACATGGACTGGTACCTTCACATCCCAGGATAGTGTCCAATCGCTCCAAGCTAGTAGAAGATTCGTCACACAGGATCTTCCCCTCCTGAAACCGTGCTGTGCTTCATGGAGTAGGTTAGTCCCGTCGAAGTATTTTCTCATGTGGTCGTCAATGAGACTCTCCAATATCTTCGATATCACTGGGAGTAGCGCAACTGGTCTGTCACTGGTCGCGTTCTGCCGGTCACCACCCTTGAAGATAGGGGATAGGATGGCTCGTTTCCATTCACATGGAAGTTTCCCTACATCAAAGGAGTGTTGAAACAGATCACTTAGGGGTTGGCAGAGACTTTCTGAACACTGCTTCAGGACGGATGGTCTTATGTCATCGCAACCTGCAGACTTTCCCGAAACCAACTTTCCCAATTTTACGAGTACCATAGCCGGGGTAATTTGAAATGTACCCAGCAGGTTTTCGCACGTTGGTCTTGCATTGTAATCTTGATGTTTTGTGGGGGTAAAATCCTCATTACTGTTCAGTTGCCTGTGAAAGGCTAGACTGAATGTCTCTACCATTTCAAGACTAGTAAGAGATTTCCCATCAGAACCCACTAGATTGCAAGCTCCCTGGTTGGTCGGTTTTCTTTCAGACATAAACCTGTATAGGCTTTTGGGGTTCACGAGAAGCTTATTGGCGAGGTTTCTCTGAAATGTCCTTCTATCACTCCGGACTCGTATGTTACACCGATTCCTGAGTTCGGGGTACACTTCGTGATCGGGTTGACTCTTCGATACTCGCCACGCAAACCAGGCTTTTCGCTTCGCCTGTAGAAGGCGTTGTGTCCCCCTTTTTAGCCATTAACGTTGCTTTCTAGCTTTAGGGGTGACTAAAGGAATAGTGTCTGAGACCGCCTGGTGAATGATCTCCTTTACCACTCCCCAGTGTTCTTCTACTGTAAGCTCTGTCCAATTTTTTGGCCAATTTGCTTCAGACAAAAGTCTTCGCATTTCGGTGTAATTGGCTTTGTTATAACACAGATAGGGCTGTGTATTGTCCCACTGCAAACGCTCGCGGAGGACTATGTCGAATGTTATGACCGCGTGGTCACTACTACATATGGTAGTCGTGATCTGAACGTTTTCCACTAGTAGCTGGTCAGTAGTGAGCACATAATCCAGTCTAGAAGACTTCCCATCTGGGCCCCATCTAGTATCCATTCTGACATTTTCAGTGAATCCGGCCTCCTTGATGGTGGTATGCAGCAGATTTCGATCAAATCTGTCCTGGGCATATGCCGTCATCAAGTTAAGAGATGGGGCATCGAAGTCTCCAGCTATGACAATTTGATCATAACCCATGTCTTGTGTCGCTGAAATTGCATTCAGCAGTACCTGGTTGTGGTCTGCTCCACATGAAGGTGATCTGTAAATGCTGCCAACTATATACTTACAGTGCCCAACGGTGAAATGGCACCATATGGAGTCGGGGAGCTCAATGAGGGGAGGGTCGATTGCATGGACACATCTGAGCTGTTTGTCGACGTATATGGCGACTCCACCTCCTTCTTTCAGATCCCTATCTCGCCTGACTAGGACCATATCATTTATACTGACTTCGCTGTCTGCCACCGTAGGGGTTAGCCAGGTTTCCGTCAGTATTATGATTTTGGAGTTCAGCTGTGATTGTAGGTATCTAAGTTCACCTATTTTGCCTCTTAGACCTCTCACATTACTGTACAGGCAACTGGTAGTCAGTCTCACCACGTCCCCGTATTGGGGGGTGGTTGACGTGATGTGGGCTGTCGGTTGAGGAGTTATCCTACGAACTAGTTGGCCGATTCCCCGGGAACCGGCCTGTTGGCGTTTTTTTCTTCTGATTCAATTGGAGCATTAATTGGATGCACCTACAGAGCACCTGGCACCTTTAGTAATTACGAGACCCAACTTATTAATACTCTAGAACAATTATCCACCCTACACTACGATCATAAGATCCTATGTGGAGACTTTAACTTACCAGAAATCAACTGGGAAATACCCACAGGTCCAACTAAACTTGATAAGTTCTTAGGCACACTGGATATACTTGGCTGGAAGCAGACTGTCACAACCCCTACAAGAGGTAATAACGTACTAGACTTAATCTTCTGCCACAATATAAGTCCCCTTTCTACCCTAGTAGGTTCTGAGTTTTCAGGGAGTGACCACAAAACAGTGCTGTGTGCACTGCCACTTCCGTCAAGTAGCAATGCAACCCATAGCCCCACTTCACAACAAATAACTTACAGGAACTACAGTAAGGCAGACTGGACTCTAGTAAAATCAATGCTAAGATCCTCAGAATGGAGTGAGTACTTCTATACTGATAGCCTCTCGAAAGCTCTAGACATCTTTTACTATAACTCCAACACATGCTTAGATGCTGTCATCCCATTTCAAACACTAAAGTTTTCCCCACATAGAAAGACATTCATAAAGCCAAAGTATCGTAGGAAACTGAAAAGACTGTCAACAAGTTACTTCAGGCGACACGACTTTAGTACACTAGGGTCAATACTTAGTACTCTTAGCTCCATCTCGCAAGCTCATAACTTGCGTATGAGAAATGAAGAATGCACCGCACTAGCCAGCACCACCACAGTAGGTGCTCTCACAGAAATACTAAAGAAACGAATGAATCGCCAAAGCCATAAAATTTCTCTCCTTATAAACAAGGGCAAACTATACAGCAACCATGCAGACATGTGTGAACTGTTTAATGAGACGTTTGCAGCTAACTACCTTAAGCCTACAAGTCCACTTCTCGGTTTACAATCTAAAATAGAACTCCCTTCATCTTCAACGCTGAAACAAATCACTACAGTTCATTTCACTTACTCTAATATTAACCAAGCCATTAATACTCTTAAAAGCTCTAGTAGTGCCGGTTTTGACGGTATACCATCTTATCTTTATAAACACGGTGGTTCTGACATTTCCGTTTTATTACTTAAGATTTTTACAATGTCCCTAGAAAACCAAACCTATCCAGATAAATGGAAAACGACATTTATAGTACCTAAACACAAATCCGGATCAAAAACTGAAGTCAACAACTATAGGCCAATCAATATTACACCCATAGTATCTAGAATCATTGAACGAATAGTTAAAGATGATATCCTCAAACATATGCTCAGCTGCAATATTCTAAGTCCAAACCAACATGGATTCCTAAAATCCAGATCATGCATGACATGTCACCTTGACTTCTTTAACTACATAACTAGCAGCCGTGACAAACAACAACTAGTACTTGTCATCTACTTCGACATATCCAAAGCCTTTGACCGCGTTGACCATTTGCTTCTAATAAATAAGCTAAACCCCTTAGGAATAAGTAACCCATTATTAGGATGGATTGAATCATTCCTTAACAATAGGTCCCAAGTAG